AGCGTCGGGCGGCGGAGGAGGTGGTGGCAACAATGCGGGCGGCGGAGGAGGAGGAGGCGGAGGCACCAATTCCGTCGACGGCCTGCATCGCAACGGCGGCAATGGCAACAGCAGTTGCCACGAGGCTGGAATAGGATCTCTGCAGAACACGGCCGACTCGAAATTGTGGTACTTAACCCAACAACAGCCAGAACAGAACCCAAAAGCTATCCAAACTCAAACTAGAACAATCGACAAACGAACCGCAAACCAATACTCAAAACATACTTTTGATATAATACTACATTTGTGGAAAAGGATTCAACCTGATCATGCAGCAAGTGTGGAAATGGGCAGCCTTGGGATTTTAGTTCGATTTCTTTTGTGATGAATTTCCTGCTAAGGTTACTGTATTTTAAATAATTAACTTAACTGGTTATGAAAAGAAACTAGTGAGAATATTTGTGATTTATTAGTAAAAATCTTACTATTAAACTAATACTTTAACCTTAAGATTTTAATCTTGAAACTTGTTTGAATTATCAGTGTGTAGTCCTGAACTTAAAATTGTTGTCAAGCTGCCCTTTTTGCATTGCTTAGTTGTCAATTGATGAGCTCTCCAGTTAGAAGACATTTAAACTTTAGTTAATTAACATTTTTTTATATCTTTTATCCACAACAAAAGCTTTGATTCCGGCACACATCCATCGAGCACAGCCGACGCGCTAATCGAGCCATTAAGGTGGGTTTTTTCAGTCATTTAATTCGGAAATTCTGAAATTCTGTTTAATTCGATTAATATTCTTTCAGAGTCTCACCGATGATACGTGAATTTGTGCAATCGATCGACGATCGGGAATGGCAGACGCAACTATTTGCCCTGCTGCAGAAGCAAACCTACAACCAGGTGGAGGTGGATCTCTTCGAGCTGATGTGCAAAGTGCTCGACCAGAATTTGTTCTCGCAAGTAGACTGGGCACGCAACACCGTCTTCTTCAAGGATCTGAAGGTATGGATCACTTTAGAGCCTCGGGGGCTACCCCAAATACCCCAAAAATCCTACTCACATCGAGTAAATCAGAAAACAGAAAACCGAAAACACAGACAGACAGCAGCAGCAGCAACATGGTTCAAAGCCAAAAACCAGTTTTCAAGCTAGGGGCCAAGTCTGCGGCGCATGTTATGTAAACCACCGACAACTGACAGCGACAGCGACGTCGACAGCGACGTCGTCAGCGACGCCGGCTGAATCTGCATTGAATTTCGATTTCATTTGGCGTCTGACCTACTTAGCCAGCAAAGCTGAACCAGTCAGTCAGTCAGCCAAGCGGCAGCGTCTCTCGCTCAATGACGCAACTGATGTGCTCACCCATACCACCAGTCCAAGTCCACCAGGAGCGGAGAAACCGAAACCGAGACAGCGACTGAGACTGAGAGAAACTGAGAAATTGAGAATCGGAGAAGCGGAGAAACCGAGAGTATCGCTGAGAGAAAGAGAGAGGGAGTGTTGTAATACCAGTGCATCCAAAACTAGGCCTTAACATATCTCCATACCATATCATCATACAAAATGTATCTATTAAACTTTATGCGTGCGGTTGCCGCTATGAGAATTGAGAAATTTAATATCCTAAAAATCAATTTTCAACACGAAAATATTATCTAAAATTTAGATCAATCAATTTACCATTTTTAAAATACAATTAAAATTTTTAAAAATATGTTTTAAAACAATTTAAAATGAGAAACATAATAAGAGCCCCATTAACATATAAAAATACATATTTTATTCTTGAAAAATTTTTTAGTTAAATATTTTATATTGGAAATATTGAACCATTTTTACAAGTATAGTTTTTGTTAACTAAAAACGAAGCAGACATTTTTATAAGGATTTTCCAAATCAAAAGTGGCAACTGCACTTATTTATGTCTAAGCACTTTTGTATTGTATCCATTTATTTATGAAACATTGTGTTTACAATTTGTTTCAAATTTAGGTCGACGACCAAATGAAGCTGCTGCAGCATTCCTGGTCGGACATGCTGGTTCTGGATCACCTGCACCATCGAATCCACAACGGGCTGCCCGATGAGACGCAACTGAACAACGGCCAGGTCTTCAATCTGATGAGTCTGGGATTGTTGGGTGTGCCACAGCTGGGCGACTACTTCAACGAGCTGCAGAATAAGCTGCAGGATCTGAAATTCGATATGGGCGACTATGTCTGCATGAAATTCCTAATCCTGTTAAATCCAAGTAAGGCCGTATAAGTTTATCGATCAGATTGGCAACCTTCTTAAACCTTCAATTCATGTTTATAGCTGTACGGGGTATTGTCAACCGGAAGACCGTCTCCGAGGGACATGATAATGTGCAAGCAGCTTTGTTGGATTACACTCTCACCTGCTATCCGTCAGTTAATGTGAGTATGGGATTCTGTTATATTTAAGAATAGAATTCTAATAGTTTAATTACATTTTTGGTGGAAAAACTGTATACGTTAAACGAAACTAAAACTTGTTTTGTTTCTTTCGCCTTTTTGCAGGACAAATTCAGAGGGCTTCTTAACATCTTACCGGAAATCCATGCATTGGCCGCTCGTGGCGAGGATCACCTGTACTCCAAGCACCGTGAAGGCAGTGCGCCCACCCAAACGCTGCTCATGGAGATGCTGCACGCCAAGCGCAAGGTGTAGAGGCCGGCGGAACGTGACACGGAATACTTAATCATTTATGAAATGTAAATAATAAGGCGGGGGAGGAGGAGTTGGAGGAGTCCCCCAAGGCAACCAGGATATGGAAGGCGAACGGAGGATACAGAATTCCATGTTATGAATATGGGAATGCATCATCACTACTACCACCAACACCACCAACTATCACACCTATACACACACATGCACACATTTGTTGATTCAATGTTAATTATTATTACGTTTACGGTTAGGTCTAGTTTACGTTTAACTAATTAATTAATTTGTCTTAAATTAATTCGTGTTTTATTTGTAGTCCCTGATAAAGCAATTTTTAAAACACTTGAACCTAATGAGAATATGTAGATTGTATGGATATAAATTTAAATTCGGCAAGGAGAACCACAACTTTCTTTAGCCATTACAAAACAACAAAAAAAAAAAAAGCATGAGAAATTTTATTTTTATATACCTATATGAATACGATACTTATGGATAAAAATCTATATATATTTTTATGTAAATTGGCGTAATTTTAAGCGTCCTACAACATTTTAATTAGTATTTGGTTTTACTATAGTTTTCAAATTATTTTCGATTCCACTTGTAGATCGATTCTTGTATTTTTTTGCGCCAAGTGTCTTGCATAGTATTTGCGTCTAATCTAATGGCAACAACAACAAACAAAAAAAAAAAACGAAAAATCCATACAAAGAAAATGAAAACAAAACAAATTTAGGTGTTCATGGTATGAATGTATGTGTATATTATAACTGTAATTTCATCTAAATGTAAGAAAACAATGCAAACAACTACCTACAACAAGATAAAGATGAGCAAGAAATTATATAAATTAATAAAGATCGTGTTAAAAACTATATAGTAAATATATACTTACATATATATTTAAATTTAGAAGCAAGTTTCAACTATTTGTAAATTTCAATCGAGATGTAATTGTTTCAATGTCAGCAACCAGAAAGTGTAAAGCTTATATTAAAAATACAAAATATATTTTGTGCAAGAAAAATGATAAATCAGCTAAACGGTAAAAGAAAATTATAATAAAAAAACAAAGAAAATCGATATAACAATTAAAAATTAAAAGTAAAAGATGCTTAGTCATGAATTTGGGCAATGAGACGGAACAGAAATCGAATTAAAGAAAAACAAGAATATTGTAAAAATCAAAAATCGAAATAAACAAACCAAATAAACTATATTTAATGAACATCTTTTGTTGGATAAATTTTTAATTCGAATATTAGGTTACCTGGCCTATGTTTTTTATTTTTTCTATTACGCTAAAATAATTTTTTTTAATATTCTCGCAAATTCTAGTTTTTTTCTTCATTTCGTGTCAATCTAAACATTGCCTTAATTCTTGCCTAGGCATTGCGCTTAAACAAAACGTACCTTATAAAATTAAACGAATATAAAACTCCAGATTCAGTAAATAGACACAAATTACCACACACATTTCAAATTTAAAGTCGTTAAAAGATGTAAAAAAAAACAATGGAGGTAGCTGATAATTTCCCGAAAATTATACAAAATTCTGATAGACGCAAGATAATTGAGGGGCGAGAAATACAAAAACGAAAGCACGACGACATCTATATAGGTTTGCCTAGGTATACATTATATATTTAGGTCTCTAGTTGGTATGTATAACATCTGTATGTATTATAAAATGTAAAAAGTAAACAAAAATATGGGTAAATAATGTAAAAGTTGGCAATGAGAGTTGACAAGCTAGTGGATCAGTTATATTTAAAGATGATAAGTAAAGGGCAAAAATTGTTGACGTCTAACGTAACGCTGGCGGCATGTTGTTGAAAACACGTTAATAGAAGGAAGGGAAAGGTGGGATCGATATACACATACAAATATATAAATGTTTATTCAGGTATGAATGGCGTTAGGTATGTTTATTGTAAAATTGATTACGATGTGAACCTGTTATTGCAAATGAAAAGTGATTTTAACTATTAAGAAAATCTATATATATATACTATAAACCCATAAAAAGGATCTAACAGTTATACATTAAATGATTAATATAAAATGCAAGCAACACACATTATAAGTTTGAAAAACTGTTAAAAATGCAAAAAAAACAAAACAAAAAAAAATCATTTAACTAGAAACAAAACTACCTAAAACTACAATGCATACTTGATCAATTGATTTAATATGCTTTATTATTATGTTAACATACAATTTCATCTCAGAGATGTTTCAAACATGCAACCAACCAACAACAACAACAACAACAACAAAAGCAAAGTGAAATAAAAAGTAATTATAAAAACGAATCAGAGGTATCGATGTTTTTAGCTGTCTGCTCAAATCTTTATTGGATTAATTTAGTTTACAAACTTGCGTTTCTATCAGTTATATTTCATTGCGTCAATAGTGAAAAGCATGGCGGGAGGTCTTAAGACATGTTAAAGTTTTGCGTAAAATCGTACTCGATGGTTGGTATGACGGTCTGAACGAACTTCAGGAATATGATCAAGTATAAATGCACGCCCAGCTGACCGCCGCCCTCCTCCACCGTTTGGATAATCTTCTTCATTATGTCCGCATGCCGGCACGGGTGCACCGAGGCCATGTTGGGACCCGGAAGATGCGGATGCGACTCCATGGTGACCGTCTTCTTGGCGTGGTCCTGCGACACATCCTCGTACATCTGCTCCACGGTCAGTGGCTTGCGCTGCTCATCGTATCCCACCACCCAAAGGCGTGGCGTCTGATAGTACTTATCGTAGCTGATGTGCAGGTCGTAGGTGCGTGTGTGCAGCACTGAGTCACCGCTGGCCTCCGCCTCCGCCACGCCCGATGCGGATGTCGATGCCGCTGGGCTGGCCTTCGCTTCCGTCTCCGGTTTGCGCGTGGTGGTGGCCACAGCCGGATCGACCAGCTCCAGCATGCCGCTCTCCTCGAAGTCGTCCATGTCAATGGCCTCGTCATCGTCCTCGTCATCGGCCTCGGCTCCAACGGCGCCCGGAGCTGATTTATCGCTATCTGGAGTGTGCATTTCATCCTGTAACAGAGTATTTCGCGATTAGATAACATTTTTCTTGAAAGGTATCTCTTATTATAAAAGCAAGACAAAAAACTTTAAATACTGTTAAATTAAAATGGGTATTAAATTTTTGTATCATTGGAAATCATTTTGCAACTATATAAACGCTAAATTTGTTTTGTTAAAAAATATATAAGCCTTTCAAATTAAAATTTAATTTGATAATACAATTTTTATTGATTTTTAATCTCATTGTGAATTACAATATAACCCTACTTAGGGAAAATTAGTTTTAGAAAATGGATTTTGAAACATGTTTTGCATTGAAATGGTATTTTTAAGGCTTTTTTAATCAACACTTTATAGAGCTAGACAAAAGATGCAAAAATGAACTTCAAGACTAGGGCTCAATTCTACTTTTTGCTCACTACCCGTATTCCAGAAGAGATTGACCTGCCTTTTCACCCGCATTCACCTTAGCCTCCTCCATTGTCAGTTCGCAGATCTTGTCCTCCAGTTGGGTGGTGCCGTCGTCGTTCAGCTGATGGGTCTCTACCCAACCGCCATCGCCGGACTCCTCCTCCACCAGCGTCTCCTCGCCGACGTACTCCATCTGCTTGCAGCGGCGATAGCACGGCACATTGCGCGTTATCAGGAATTGCTTATCTAAGCGGGGGCCAAATGATTTTAATGGGTAATGGCTAAATTGGCCAATTATTAATGGCAAATCGCAGCACTTACCCTTTGGTAGGTAGGGTTTTGTCTTGCTTTCATCACCGGCGGCCCACTGCCAGGTGGGACAGTGGTGCACCAAGTGATCTCCGGCGGCTACAAACTCCTCCGGAGTGAGAACGCCCGTCTCACGGAATTTCGATTCCTGCAAGAAAGGAATATATATATATATATTTAACTATCAAGATGTGGGGTATTATCATTATACGGGTTATCCAAGAATTTTCTTCCATCTAAAATCCCATTTAAAAGAATAACAGTGGGTCCAAAAAATAAACTGAAGGTCAACTTTTGACATACCAAAAAACTCTTAAGCTTTGAATAGCGTTTTTTAAATCAAGCCATATAGGTTTTAAAAAAAAATGATCGTTGAGGCTTATTATTTTTGCCTGGAACAGAAAAAAACTTTATATACCCCCACATCAACTGACAATAGCAACCTTTTCAGAACGTTTTTCAAACGAACTGTCCCAAAAATAGTCTGGGAATTCTGGGGACACCCTTGTGCACTTTATTTGGAGACTGTCTGGCGGTGAATCCAGTTTTACAGCCACCAAGTGGGGGAAAGTGGGGGGAATCAATAATTGAGCGTGGAAAACCCTTATCTCTTTCGCTTTTCTTTGTCTTTAAGCTGAGCTGCATATGTACACCCCTATTTGATACGTATTTTATACATATATTTGATCGTTTTGATAGTCAGTTTTCCGTCTATTTGGCACTTTTTACCTTCAAAACGGGCGTTAGATATTCGGCCACATTGAGCGCCGTGCCTTTCACGGTGTTGAGAACGCTTTGCATTTTGCCGCCCCGCTGAGTATTCGCACTAATCTAAATGCCTAAACTTAATAAATACACTTCAAATGGCTCTCTCAATTGACTTGCACTTCCCAGCTAATTGTTTTTGTCTCGCCAGCAATGACAACAACAGTGTGCTGCGGTCACACTGCGTCAATCGATGTGGGTGGCCCTATCGATAGGTTTAGGAAAAATAACAGTATTTTTATTTAAATACTTAAAAGTATATCATTTGTTATCTTTTCAATTTATAATCAGTTCAAATTTATTTGAACATCGAATTCATTCTATTATACATTAAATAAAATTAAATATAAATGTTTATCAAATAATTCAAATATTTGTAATTAAAGGTTCTTTTATAACTGCAATATCAATAGGTTTTTGTTTGTTGACTTTCCGAAGACAGTCAATTCAAAATTGAAATCAAAAAATAAAAGCCGATAAATAATATTTTTTGGTACAAAAGTGGGTCTTTAAAATATATATTTTTTAAATTGTATTATTCTTTCACATTTAGTATTTATTCGGTATATTTATAAGCTTTGGTCACACACTGCCTTAAAGTGCGCACATTGTTTTTAACGTTTTTAATCCAAAGAAATGGAGGAAAAGGTGCTGCCGAAATTCGTACTGCCGTCGCCGAAATTCGACAAACCCAATGGAGTCAGCAAGGCGCCTCATCTCTACCTGACCCCCAGTGGGATGACCCTGCTGCCGAGGGCTAAGCAGCCGCCACCCATGTACGGCGCACGAGGATCAACAGTTCCTGCTAGATTTCTTGCTCAGGAGCAAGTGAGTTTACTTATGGAGTTACACTTTGTTCGTCTAATATTACCCATTTGTGATTCCCAGTTTATAACACAGAGAAGCCCAGTCAGTGAGCCAGAAAGCCCGCCAATTTACAAATCTCCCCCGCGATCGGAGTACTGCCACACGTGTTGCATGGAATTGGCCACTTCTGAGGACATGAAACGCCACCTGGAGCAACATGAATCCTGTCCTGCTGATGACTGCGACTTTGAGTCCCTGCACAATATCTTGGAACGCCATATAGAAGCTAATCACATCACCGGTGCCTACAAAAAGATCAAGAAAGTGTGGACGCAGGAGGAATTGGCCGCCTGGAAGGCAGAACGGAGAAAGAGGTAGGACTTCTTTATATATAAATGATTAAAAATCTTTTGATTAACTTATTGATGACTTAGATTTCCAACTGCCGCGAATGTTGAGCAGGCCAGATTGGCCAAGGAGCAGAGAATCAAGCGCGGCGAGCGCCTGGAGGCCTCGAAATCTCGCTTTGGCAACCGCGAAGATCGCCAAAGGACCCGACCCAAGGGAGATAACCAGGAACGTTTGGATTCCAAAAACAGGAGAAAGAGAGGTGCCAAAAACAGAACCTCGGACAACAAGAAATCTAATGGAAGTCAAAAGAAACCAACTGATAAAACAAACTCAAGTAAAGAAACTTCAACAAAGTCCATTGATTTAAAGAGTGAAACTGAAGAGCCCAAGGACGAGGAAATCAACATCTGCTCCCTGGGAAATGGCAAGTTCTGTGGAACTGCACACATGACGGACTACCAGCACTTCAAGGAGAAAGTGAAACAAAAGGAAAATGCATTGTTTGGTCTACTGGGGATGTATGGTTCCGATAGTGAAGAGGAAAGTGAAAGTCAGAGTGAGGATCAGGTTGTAGCAGAGGAAAATTTGCAAGCAAAAGCAGAATTGGCGAGCTCCAAAAATGAGAATTCTATGCCCTTGGAAAAGGACCAAAACTATGATGATCAGGACCTAAAACTAAGTTCTGAGGCTTCTGATAAAGTCATTCCCATTGGGAATATGGAATCCAGCAAAGAATTAACTTTTGTGATGGATGAGGCATCCACTTCAGATGAACACTGCCAAAAAGGTGGCATTAATCGCACAACTGAAGCAGTTCCTATTACAATTAAAGCTGCCGATTCCTCCGACGAAGCACCAGATGAAGAGCCCTTCAAGCGAGTGACTGAAACTATCAAAGAATCAAGTCCTCCCAAAGCTGAACCAATGGAATGCAAGCGCCAAACTGCACCAAAACGAGCAGCTCCAAAGCGAATTTATGGCTTAAACTACAAGAGAGCTCGCAAGCAGGCCCAGCAAAACACTATGTTATCCAAACTCCTTGAACCGGATATTAGACATGAACGGAATGTCCTGCTGCAGTGTGTGCGTCATGTATGCGAAAGGAATTTCTTTGGCATTGGACAAACTAAGGAGAAAGCTAAGCTGGATTCAGCTTGTGATAATGACAAAGAGAAGCTGGTGCCGACTTGTGATAAATCCATAGATATAACACCAGATGTATGATTATCTTTAGCCATTAGGATAAGCCATTAAAGTACAAACTTAAGTATGCAAATCTATACCGAAAAGGGCGAGGGTTTTAGCATGGAACATGTACCAAGCTCCTTATTAAAATTTAAATTTTTTTTAAAATTAAATGATTAGAAAATGTAGCTTTTACAGAACAGTGAAATGGGACTTATTTAAGTAAGTCGTTAACTGGTTTGGCCTATGCTATCATATTTAATGTTTACAAGATTGACAATTATTCTTTTGACGTTTTTTATTCATTTAAAAAAAATGATTAACCTCTAACTTTAAACTTAACCCTAGATTAGTTGTTGGACATTGAGGAGTCGCCGCCCATGGGATGATCACCTCCGCCGGCGGCTCCTCCGCCCGCCTGTTGTTGTTGCTGCTGTGCTGCCTGTTGCATCTGTTGTTGTTGCTGCTGCTGCTGTTGTTGTTGCTGTTGTTGGGCGGCGGCATGCTCCTGCTGACGCTTCAGTTGCTGGCGGGCAGCATGTGAGTGCTTGGCCTTGGTTTCCTCCAGCTCACGAACTCTGGATCTGGCATGTTGGATGCGATGCCAGGCCATTTGGAGGACCTTGGCGGACGCATAGCCGGAGCCCTCGTGCGGCTGACCCGTGGACACCTGGGTCAAATAGTTGATCTGCTCCGATAGCTTCGATTCCACGCTGGACAGGCTCTTGAGGAACTGCTGCGATTGAGTTTCGGCATTTTTCTGCGACGACTTCTCCTTGCCCAACTCCTGCAATGCTTGTCCTACAAAAAGTATATGTGTCAGCCCTGTTTTAGTGAGTTCGTCTATATCGCCCACCTGCACTCTGCATGCACAGGATTATCTCCTTTTCGATCTCGTCCAGTGCGTGTATTTTGTCCAGCGGATTCATCGTGTTTCGGCGTTTTTGCAAGTAAACAAAATTTGCCAGCCAAAACAAAGGGACCAGATCATACAAATACGGTATTTAATTCGGGCGCCTCAAAATAGACTGGAAAACATACCATAACAAAAAATACCAAACTATTCAAATATTTACCCGCCAAAACAAATATTTGATTGTGTCGTTATGAGTTTTAAATAATTGAAATAATTAATTTGAGGTTTTTTATGTATTTATTTGTTACAAACTCCTTTTATTTGTTAAAGAAAGAATGTTAAACAACCTAATGTATTTTCTGAGATATTTTGAATATTAGAAACTTATTTTTTGCAAGCGGAATGAACAATTTCTTGAATTTGAAGTGCACCCTAATATTGCTTAATTTAATTTTTAATAAAAGGGTAATAGATGGTCCGCTTTTAAATAATGATCTTTATGTAAACAAATTAAATTAAAGTCATGCTTACAAATATTTGTTTACACTTTAAATTGTAAATTCTAAAAACCTAATTTTAATTTAATTTAATTATTTTCTGAGATATTTTGAATATTAGAAACTTATTTTTTGCAAGCGGAATGAACAATTTCTTGAATTTTAAATGCAAAATTCTTAAAATCAAATTAAATTCGCTTGCTGGCCAACCCAGTCCATTCGTATTTGAAATATTCCTTCGGCAAGGGCAAACAGTTTTCATGCAACTCGATGGCGTCCTTGTCCATGTGCCATACCATAAAGTTTCGTCCACAATCAATCCGTTTATGGAGTGCAAAATGCACCCGATCCACAAAATGAGACTGGCACTGGCGGCATTCGAACACCCGATCTTGGCTATCAGTCCGCAGAAACTTTCTTATATTGCGAATTTCAAGTAGACCTTGAAATCCACCAACTACGTCCGTTTGAATGATAAAGGTGGGTGTTTCTTCCACATCGCCATTGAGTAAATAGGGCACAACATATAGTTCTTTAGAGGTATTGCAAACTCGAAAGACATAGAGGTTTATTTTGAGCGAAGCCGGTAAAGATCGTCCTTGACTTAGATAAGTCTCAGCAAGCTTTGCCAAATCGCAGTATGATTTTTTACTTGCGCTTTCAAGCATTTCAGTGGCATTTTTCACTTGATATTGCAGGGGAAGTTTGGAAGCACGAGAGAAATTGCTTTTTGGGGGGTGGCAAAATCTCTTCACAGTCACCTTCATCCTTCTGATGACACACGCCTCCAAGGGCACCCTTTGATGAAGCAGCACATAGTTGCTAATCTTCTCCAGCAGCATGGAGAATATCATGTCCACAGCCTCACCAATATCCAAATGGTGTTCGATATTCAGAGGACTGCTTTCGTAGTACATGCGCTCCTTTTTCACATCCACATAGAATCCTACGGTGGCCTGCAGTTTCTCAGTTCCATAGCTTAGGAATCGCAGCAGTTGAGGCACTGCATCCATTCCCGCCTCCAAAAGAAAGTCATTGGTCCTGGCTGTAATGCTTCCGTCACATAAGATAAACTCTTCGACGGCCCGATCCTCAATCTTTTTAAGGATCTGTTTTTCTTCGGCACTCAACTTAATGTAGTAACTTCGATTGTTTTTAATATCATTGCGCCAATGATGGTGGTACGGCTCGCTGTCCGGAACACGATTTTCACAGGTGGTACACTCCGCCCTCCTTGAACCGTTCACAAAAAACTGATGGCGAAAAGTTCGGGAGTTTTCCAGGATATCAAAGATAAAGCGCGATTGCGTTCGGCGGGCCATGACTAAAGAGTTACTGAGTTACTATGTGTTTGCGGCATGGGTTTTAATTTAGAAAAATAGGTAGGATTTATTGATCTAGGTATCGGTATTAAGTTGAGCCAGCTGCTGTTGGTTAACCCGCTAATAGGCAGGTAGAACATTACATTTACAGGTAGAAGCGTTTTTATGGCAAAGATTTGCTATAAGAAACATGAAAATTGGTTAGTAATATAAAAAAGGAAAATTTTTAAATATCCTATCAATGAAAACGCCTGACCGTTAATACACATTTCTACTATAAATTTTCAACCCTTAGCACCATAAATAAGGGAAAATGAGAGACACACACGCAACAAAGCTAACTGATACGAAACACAGAAAGTCAATTTGCGTTTATTATAGCACGTAAAATAGGAACAGCGATAAGGTAATATACATATGTAAAAAGTATGTACATTTCGTAAGACTAACATTTGGTTTTACCAAGGACCTTCGTTAATCTGCTAAAAGGTCCCTGCCTTTTAGCCATTTTTGTAATGTTTCTGAACAGATGTTTTTAATCTGTATTAAAAATGTTTATCAGGATTAATAGATAGATAGACTGATCAAAAATCTGTTTATATCTACATCAAATATACTCTTTTCGATTCTCAAATGGCAATGTTGACAGATAAATTAAATAAAATTTTGAGAACATTTTAATGGTCACTATTAATGGAAGTTCAGATATAAAATATTCTTAAGAATTTTTACGGTTTAGCATTTTAATGAGGAAACCCAGCAAAATAACCCAAAATTCTCGCCTTGTAAGGAGTCATGCCTCGCAACCTACATTTTAACATCCCGACGTTTCCCCTGCAACTCAAACGAGGTCGTACGAACAGGGCTATTGTCAAACCCGGTTCGCACTTTATCCAGGATAATGTGTTCCCATTTCGGAGGACGAAGAAAAGTGAGCGATGAAGTGCCGGCGGAGGAGCTTCGCAGGCTTATTCCTGCGGCGTCCCGTTTGACTGTCGACTGATGGCTGATGGCTGTTGGCTGTTGCTTTATGGCTTCTTTAGTAGTTCAAGCATATTTAAGGCGTTTCGTGCGTCCTTCACACGCACACAGACTGCATACATACGTACATATTATTATACTATATGCTCCAGTACAAATATTTCGTATTTTCGTCGCTGAGAAACCTCACGTGTCGCTCGCAGCTTATGTGGGTGAACTATGACAAAAAATAGTGAAAATAGAGTAAAAAAAAAAATAAATATGAGAAAATAGAAACAAACAAAAAAGCCGACAGTAAAAGTAACGGAAAACTGCTGCCTGGCATCTTTTTACGTTTTTCGGTTGTTGATTTTCCTATTTCACTCCTTGCCGCTGCCGCTGCTGTTGAATTTTCCTTTTTGGCCGTGGAATTATGAGAGCTCGTCGTTCCCCATTTTCTCTCACTTTTCGGCTTGTCATGCTCTATCGTCGTGTTTGGTCCTTTGGTGTTCTGGCATCCTGACGCCTGTTTCCCCGCTTTTTTGTTTGCTTTTATTTTCGCTCGTTTTGTTTTGGTCTGATTAAAAGTAGAGTTTTTCGCGGCTATTTTTTTCGGACTGGGCCGCGAATGCTATTTTAATTTGGTAGTCAAGGCCGAAAAACCTTAAGGCGGTTTGCTAAAAGTAGATAAAGATATATATATTTTGAGCAGCTAAGCAAGTCAAGACATTGAAGGCCTAAGAAATATACTTTTAGGTTTGCCTTTTAAACTTTTGGGACACTAAGGAAGATTACATTTTAAATCAGAATTTTTAATTTAATAGTTTATTATTAGTCTCAAATATGATATGCATTTACAATATTGTTTTCCGTATTGAATTTATAAGTTGCTTTTAAAGCTTAAACAAGTTTGTGAAATAATTGACTTCCTAACCCATGTAACAACATTTTTTCTCACGCACACAGCAATCAATGAATTTAATTATGCTTCTTACTTTTTGTTATTTCGATTTTTACTCTAATAGTTTTTTTTATCGCTTCTGACCCAATTAATTTCACCCTTCACGTAACAACTATCAATTACTGAATTATTGATGAATATTAATAGCATAACGTTCACAAAAAATATATTTGTGCAATTACAAAAATGTTTTAATTGATGTGCCCATCTCCCCACAAACAGATATAAACAGAGACAAAAGGTGGCGTCGAGTAAGCAGAGGTTAAGAGGTTAAAGGCTATAGGTCAAGTTGTTAGCTTTCCGGCTTATTCGTTATTATCACTTGAACTTTTTGGGCTCAGCTTCTCCTCCGCCCTCCGCCTTAATCTTCCTCTTACCTGGTAATTAACACTTTGTCAAGCTCATAAATCTTTAAACATTGATTTTTAATGGTGGCATTTTAACGCTTCGTCGAGCAGGGGAATCGCTCAGGATACGTGCGATACAGAAAACAGGGAAATCGAAAGGTGCGCAATACCCGTGGGAAAATTAATAAATTATTGAGGTTGGGCTCGGGGTGTGCACGTGATTGTTTGTCTTTCCTTTAGATCTTTTTCTGGTTGGTTACTTGATGGGCTTTAATAATAAATTTCACAATATTTAACTGATTGCAATATTAATACAAAAACCTTTTAAGGGAAAATTAAGTGGTACATCTTTATAATTTTGAAATTTAATATCACATATAAATAGGAATAAACAATTTTAAAAAAATGGTATTTATGGCTTTCTATATTTTTGACTTGGCGTCTTCGACTCCAAAAAAATGTTTAGAGATGATGAAGTTAAAGTTTAAAACAAAACGAAAACGAATTGCTTAGACTAAGAGATATTCTATACTCCCCGCATTTTAAAAGAAGTGTTGCATACCAAAAAGGGCTTTCCTTCTCTAGGATCGATTGATGAAATTTCCTTACTTAAATGTCAAAAAGCATTGTTCTTCCTTTTAAGTTTGGCACAAATACAACTTGAAATGTACATGCATCGGGTATTAAAACAACCACAAAACGATAAATACGCTCGAACTTATGTTTGCATTTCAAGCTCTTAGCAGTTTCTCTTTGAAGCTTTTTATATTAAATGCATTTAGTGCAGTTTCGACATTAGCAAAAAGAAAAAAAAACAGGAAACACAACCAACAAAGTCCGCCCAGAATTTATATATATATAAAGACACAAGTGCACAAATAAATGTTGTTCTTGGCATTGTGTGTGTATGACGACGAATTATGTCCCCCAGATGTCAGTGCAATACAAGCGAGAAACATGACAATTCCGCCTGCGACCGCCCACCAGAAATTCCAGCAACAACAGTGGCTTCTGACGCGCCGGAAACTATCCATAAGTATTCATGCATTTATGCGGGCGTTGCATCACCCACCACCATCCACCACCATCCACCACCCACTCACCGAACAACACCCATCCCACAAACCACTTCTTAGTGAAATGCTCATGTGTGTCTGTTTCTTTTCTTGTCTAAATCTCTGTTGCTGTTAGGGATGGTAATTTGGTTTTTTTTCATATATTATTATTTTTTTTTTTTAGTTGCCTTTCTTTTTAAATTCTTTAATAGCTTCTTTCCGGAAGTTGGTCGTGTTAAGTTCCGCTTAATATTTTTAATAGCAAAGTGTTTATTCAAAATAAATAGACACCTGCACTCTTGTTTCTCATCAAATTTTCCAAGCCGAAAATTAAAACTATTGCTTATTTAAATAAAATTATTTCTAGTCTCAAAATCCAAAAAGTTGTTTTCCATAATTTAGTAGAAAAATGTGTATAAATGTAATTGCAAGGCAATCTAAATATTTCTGTTCCATACTGATTATTTTGTATGATTTTCAATTTGTTGTTTGCTTTGATTTAATTTTATTATTAATATATATTAAATTAAAAAAGAAAATGTTAAATTTTATTATTTTATTTATTTATAAAACCTAATGGATATAAAATAAATTTGCTGTGATTAAGTTATATTAGTTTTATTCTAATTTAAAAGAAAATGATATTTATTTTATTTTGTTTTTACAATATACTGAATATTTAAGTGAATTTTCGTTTAATATTATAGAGAAAGGCCATAACTATTTGGCTTTTCCAGGAGAAAGGAGCGTTGTGAGGTGGGTGTGGCCGACTGTGTTCCATTTGTCAACAGCAGCGTGGAGAGGCGGTGGTGCAGTGGGTGGTGGCTGTGCGGTTGGATCTGGGTGGCAGAAGGCAAAAGATAGAAGACACAGGCTGGGGATGCGCTGGACGTGGCATTCGAAAAGCCAGAGGAGAAACGACGCTTCTGTGCGGATTCCGATCCTGATTCTGGCACATCAGCAGCTTTATTATTATGCAAATACATACAAAATATGAATTATGTTAATGCCAAGTGTACACACACCACACACAGCTTTGTCCAGAATGCAGCTTCATCTCTTAACGGCCTGCAAAGCCGTCAAGTTTTCCCCCGCAAAAAGTATACTTCTCTCCCACAATCCCCGCTCAAAAATTGTTGTCTCGTGTGAAAGTTTTGCATTTTCTTGTTTAACCGTTTTATTGAACGTGCTGCCGGAGAGCTAAAGAAAGCTTACGACTTTGCTAGATGAGGCTTCCGGCGGATTTGGCTCAAAAACAATCTCAGATCAAGTGGTGTGCCGCAGGGGATAAACTTAGCAACTTCAGTGGACTTCTATAAAATTCTTTAAAGAAACCACATTTTATACTAGACATCTTCTGACATCAATAAGACCTACTTAACTTATTTAGGTATTTATTGTTTAGCATTGAAGTTTCACGTAAGTACTTTGATATATGAAATTTCACTTTTTCACATAAATGGGACATTATGTATTTACAAAATCATATTTTTTAAGCCCACAATGATATAAATTAATTTTAGAAAAAAATGAATGCTTCTATTAATTTCCTGCTTGAGTAACGCACTGCAAAATGATTTTATGAGCCACAGCGCTATTAAAATTAATATATATTTATCTAAAAAAAAACGTTCAAAAAGCTTTGATTGCGATTATATTAATTGATTGAATTTGTTG